TGAAATCAAGAGTTGGACACTTAACCAAGTGAGCCACCCAGGTACCCCTATCATCCCTTTTCCGTATCAAACAGATCAAAGCATTAATTGTTATCACTTCGTCCAAAAATAAATATGCTAATTCCTGGAGATTTTGCCCTGTGATTTAGACTTTGCAGATAAGACAATCCTGGGGAAGAAAAGCTCAAGCATGTCTATTTCGACTCAATAAAGAAAGTCTTAATCATTCCAGAAGAAAACAACCTAGTCACCTGCTTAGGTCTAAGGGTCTGGGATGCTAGCCATACCTTCTTTGGGCTTCAGTCACTCACCTCTGATTAGAGTTTGGGGCTGAATGAACATAACCTTCAGTTTTAGCCATGGCAGTGAGTGACCTAGCAGACCTTGAGCTGTCTATAAAGAATGTCGATTTGACATCATTTTGGGGATTAAATGGAAGGGAAATTTGGCTGGAGAGGGTGGAGACTATGTAATCTAGGCACAATAAAGCCACTACTGGAGCCAGTAGAGGATGGCGAAGTTTAAGGTTAAGGGTACAGAGTAGCTTTCAGAGAAAGAAGCAACTTGAATGTAAGCAAAACAAAAAATTTTCTAAAGTCTGTCACAAAATTCTGCATGTAGTAACAGAATATTAAGGGAATTTCCCTCATTTCACTGAGGGAAGAAAGGGTTCATTAAACTGATTTTAAAACATCTAGATTTCCAGAAATCATTCAGGCATCTAATAATATCAAATGTTATATAAAATATGACAATTGAGAATTAAAGAACAAAAAATAGATTATATAAAAGAGACAAAGGAGTAGATGTTACAGGAACCTGGTACCTGTATAAAACGAAATGTTGTAATTGAATGCTAAGGCAAAAAGAAATAATCTACTATAGTTTTCCTTCCATATAATGTACAAACTTATCTACAAACTTTTTCCTATAAGTGAGCTAGAAATCTTTACACCATTATTCTATATTCTTTTTATGAAGAAATGATCATTTTAGGTGTATGGGTGTGTGTGTGTGTGTGTGTGTGTGTGTGTGTGTGTAATTTCTTCAAAACTTACCAGGCTCATCTACACATTCAATGCACTCCCAATCAAAGTTGCACCAGCATTCTTCTCAAAGCTAGAACAATTCTAAAATTTATATGGAACCATAAAAGAGGCTGAATAGCAAAAGTAGTGTTGAAAAAGAACACCAAAGTGAGAGGCATCACAATCACAGGCATTAGCCACTATTGCAAAGTTGTAATCATCAGGACAGTATGGTATTGGCACAAAAACAGACACATAGACCAATGGAATAGAGAACCCAGAATTGGACCCACAAATGTATGACAAAGCAGGAAATCTTTGGACCCACAAATCTTTGACAAAAATTGTGGGAAATTTGACAAATCTTTGACAAAGCAGGAAAAAGTATCCAATGGAAAAAAGACAATCTCTTTAGCAAATGGCGCTGGGAGAACTGGACAGTGACATGCAGAAGAATGAACCTGGACCACTTTCTTGGTCCTTTCTTCCTTTCATTTGTGTACATCATACACAAAAATAAACTCAAAATGGATAAAAGACCTAAATGTAAGACAAGAAACCATCAAAAGCCTAGAGGAGGAAATAGGCAACAATCTCTTTGACCTCGGCTGCAGCAACTTCTTATTCCACACGTCTCTGAAGGCAAAGGACATAAAAGCAAAAATGAACTATTGGGACCTCATCAAGATAAAAACTCCTGCACTGCAAAGGAACCAATAAGCAAAACTAAAAGGACCAACAGAATGGGAGAAGATATTTGCAAATGATATATCAGGCAAAAGGCTAGTATTCAAAATCTGTAAAAAACTTACCAAACTCAACACACAAAAAACAAATAATCCAGTGAAGAAATGGGCAGAAGAATAGACATTTTTCCGAAGAACACATCCAGATGGCCAACAGACACATGAAAAGATGCTCAACATCGCTCATCATCAGGGAAATACAAATCAAAACCACATTAAAATACCACCTCACACCGGTCAGAGTGGCTAAAATGAGCAACTCAGGAAACAACAGATGTTGGCGAGGATGTGGAGAAACAGGAACCCTCTTGCACTGTTGGTGGGAATGCAAGCTGGTGCAGCCACTCTGGAAAACATTGTGAAGGTTCTTCAAAAAAATTAAAAATAGAACTGCTCTACTACCCAGCAATGGCAGTACTAGGAATTTATCCAAAAGATACAGGAGTGCTGATACATAGGGGCACTTGTACCACAATGTTTATAGCAGTGCTTTCAACAATAGCAAATGATAGGAAGAGCCCAAATGTCCATCAACTGATGAATGGATAAAGAAGATGTGGTTTATATACACAATGGAATACTGCTTGGCAATGAGAAAGAATGAAATCCTTTTGCAGTAACATGGATGGAACTGGAAGGTATTATGCTGAGTGAAATTAAGTCAGTCACAGAAAGATAGATGTTTTCACTCTTTTTTTTTTTTAATTTTTTTTTTAACATTTATTTATTTTTGGGACAGAGAGAGACAGAGCATGAACGGAGGAGGGGCAGAGAGAGAGGGAGACACAGAATTGGAAACAGGCTCCAGGCCCTGAGCCATCAGCCCAGAGCCCGACGTGGGGCTCGAACTCACGGACCGCGAGATCGTGACCTGGCTGAAGTCGGATGCTTAACTGACTGCGCCACCCAGGCGCCCCTAGATGTTTTCACTCTTATGTGGAGCTTGAGACACTTAACAGAAAACCATGGGGGAAGGGAAGGGGAAAAATAGTTTCCAACAGAGAGGGAGGCAAACTCCTAAGAGACTATTAAATACAGAGAACAAACATACAATGTATGTTAGCGAACTTGACAATAAATTATATTTTTAAAAAGGCATATTCTTTGGTGACATGAAATATTTCAAGTATCATTCTTCAACTCTAAAACAGTAAGAATTTTTGCAGGTTAAGTCAAGAATCTAAACAAATGTTAAAATTATATCACTCTTTGCCTCAAAGTCATACAAGAGTTTATCATTTAATCAAACATCTCATATAATCTACTAATTATTCTACATTATCCTTGATGAATAAAAATTCATTCAAGAGAAAAAAAAAACCTTACCAGGCTGACATGAGGTTCAGGTTAAAGTTTGCAAATGGATTCTCTGATGTCTATGATTAACATCTATCCTTAAGAAATAAGTTTGTAATAAGGAGCCAGATTAAAAATATGCATGATTTTACAGTAAATATAGTCTCCCTTACTACTGTCAAGTCTTAGAGCCACAGACAGAGCTATGGGAGATAAATGAAAGACAACCAGATCTGACACAGCAAGAAATGAAGATGATACCTTTAATCCTCCAGGGGTGTAATTATCTCCTGAAAATCCCAGCTAGCAGAAAAGTCTCCTTGCTATTATTAGATTTCTTTCAGTTTGGGATGTAAGTATATGCTGAACATCATTCACTGAAAACTACTGGTTTCTCTCTCAGTGTGTGTAAAATCTGAGTTCAGTGGTGATTAATTTGGTCCTTGAGCTAGGTGAAGCTTCATTTCAACTCTCCCTGAGTGCAAAGCTTAATTCTGAATAAATTGGCATGTTGCCCCTTATTCTACTGTTGTGTGTGTTCCCAGAAAACAGCAGGCCTGTTCTCTTGGACAGCTAAGATTCCTCCAAGTTCAAGATTTTGTTCCAATGACTGTTTTTTCCGTCAGCAGTTTCAAAGGTTCTTAGTGGCATTTCTTTTGTAATGCCATAACCAAAGAATTGAGTGTTGCCCAATTACCTGATCAAAAGAAAGCCCTCTCATCACGTCACTTGACTTCATGTGTCCTCCGGCTTGCTCTTTGTGGCTGATGGTGTCATGTTTCCCAGAATCAACCGTTTCAACAATGGACAAAATGACTTGTAGGCTCAAAAGGATTAACAAAATCAAAGATGCACATTTTATATGTAAACGAAATATGTAGAACACACACTTAGTAGCAAAGAAATATGATGAACAGAAAGGTTAACCAAATGTGTGACTAAAAATTAATATGGGAAAAGACATTTTCCAATATTTAGTGGACGGTGTTAATACTTGTTGGACATCTCTGTGAGCCAGGCATTGCGGACACTATATGGATGTTAACTATATCCTAAGTAACCTTGCTAGGTAACTGCTGTTAGGCTCCTTTTACCAGTGTAGAAAGGGAGGCTTTAAAATGTTAAGTGGCTGTCCAAGACCGTTCATCTACAAGTATTAAAGCAAGAATCTAACCTTGCACCTGTATTATTTCTAAGGTATTCTCATTCTCTTTCTATTTTACCAGGGATACTGATAGCAGTCACCTAAATAGAAAATAACTGACTTTTTAATACACGTTTATAAGCTAACGATATTCACTACAGCCACTTTTGAGTTAACCATAGCATAATCACTGAAGCCTTTCTTCTCTTGGCAAAAGTCAAAGGAGACTTGCTCAACTGTCAGGCCAAGTCAATGTTTTCCAACCCAACAGTCTTCAGCCGGGGGAGCCTCCTTCTTCCTTTTCTTTCCTTCCTCCTCAGAGCATGGCAGCATCAGACTTCATGTCTGCTACCCAACGCTGGATTAATTCAGCCATGCTCCTTCTCTGCTCCCACAGAGAAGTACTCCTGCTGAGCCCCTCTGGCAAAGGTCATACCATGGTGCTGACTGAAGCTCTCGGCAAATCCATGGTCTCCAACCACATCTGGGGTTTCAACACTGCCTGGCAATCTTCCCATGATCTGTAGACAGCACTATTGTCCCAAAGACACTCTTTCAGACTTTCCTCTATCTTTTATGTCACTTTCTTGAAGTTCACTTCTTCCTTCACTCTCAACACGTCCTAACCTCCTTCTTGACAGAGGATAAGGCACAGGAAAACTCCATCAACTTCATATCCTCCCTCCTTCTATTCATCTGTATTTCATCCACCTTTTTGACCTTCCATAGGGCAGTGTCCAGTGACTTCTCCCGCTACATGTTTCTACCTTTGTCGACAACTCTCAGCTGCATCAGAACCAAGTCAGACACTCGGCCCCAGCATCCAGCCACCCATGAACTTCTGTTGCTTCTCCTTCTTTAATATTGAAACTGTTATAGTAATGTAAAGATAGATGGAAATTAAGGTGGACACATTCACGCTTCCGAAGGCTTGACTTTAAATGGCACAAATTTTAATTTTCCTCATTCTTGAAGCCTCCCTTCACTTGTTTTTCTATAGAATCCTTTGTTCCAGGAACTTGGTATCCATAGTGACATCTTGCTGACTTCAGTGTATCCCTAGTAATGAGACTTGGATGGCCAGTGCCAGTCATGAGCCCATCTTGAAGACATCACGAATGTGGCTGGAAGCATGGACCAGTTTCGTAATGAAACTTCCCAGATTCTGTATTTTCCTATAAAGCCCTTCAGCCTTTGACCCTGAACGGGTCTGCAATTTTGAAGGCATTAGCCTGCTGTGGCATCCTTTGCCTGGCAAAGTAATAAAGCTATTGTTCTTCTTTATCCCCAAACTCTCTGTCTTTGTGTTACATTTCAGCTCTGGAGCACAGAGGTCAGTTTTCTCTTCTCTTCTCTTCTCTTTTTTTCTCTTTCCTCTCCACTCTTCTTTCTTCTCCTGCCTCCTCCTCTTGGTTCTAGCCATTCTAGTTCAACAATGAGCATGTGCTCCTTTTTAAATTCCTTTTGTAGTTAGAAGTGTGTCGTGGACTCAAATGGAAGTGCTTGTGTAATGCACTCGCGTGGCAGTGGAGGGTGGTGGGGGAGGTGACACTAGTGTAGAATATGGTTTGTGCCCACTCAGTATCCTTTCTGCCCTCCTAGAGCAAGAGTAGACCTTATACTGGGCATTTAAGCATGAAAGGCTGTTGTAGAAGCCAAGCATCATCTGTGGCCTCTCTCCCCACCTCCCCCACCCATCTCTCTGTCTCTTTCACACCCAGCAAAGAACTGCGTGGGCTGCATGTGAAGGGGGTGCAGACAGGAAAATGATAGGGATTTTCCATGCATTTGAAAAACCGTGTGGGAATACGTTCTTTCATACCAAGTGAAAAGCGATGCAAAAGGCAAGCCTGTTGTGAATGGTGCATGAGGGGAGGATCTCTCGGATGTTCTTAGTGTGTACAAATGAAACACACCCACAAGCCCCTGAGCAGCCTCCAAATCTCCGAGTGCACTGGCACTAAACTAAATTTAAAGGCTATTGGGTTCTGACAGTATGTTCTGGCCTCCCCCAAACAGTGATATAACAAACACTTCATACAATTGCCAATGAGGAAATAATCACCAAGGATTGCTAACACTAAGCAGAAGCAAACAAAGTTGCAAATGAAGGGTTATAGGTACAAGACAAAAGTATTTTCATCCAGCATTTGGAGGAACTGGAGCTGAAAAACAAATGAATTGGGAGTGGGGGCAGGGAAGGCTCCCAAACCTAGGGGAAATTAACAGGTGAATAAGCTGTCTGCAAATAGGCTATCCACATTAATGTATAAATTCAAAGTCATCCAACCCATTACAATCTTTTGGTTTTGTCTTCCAGGAAGCCAACAGTACTGCTCTCATTTTCCAAGATGAGTCTTCCAGGAGGATGGAACAGAGAATCTGTCCATATGCATATATCTGGGGCTTCCCCTCAGAGTCATCTGCTTGCCCAACTGTTTAAGAAACTCAGATTCTCTACTGAAGAATCGTTCAAATAGGGTAATATAAAAATACAACTTTTCATGGGGTGCCTATGCAGCTCAGTTGGTTGAACGTCTGAATCTTGATTTTGATTCAGATCGTGATCCCAGAGTCTTTGGACTGAGTCCCACTCAGAGTGTGGAATTTGCTTGGGATTCTCTCTCTCTCTCCCTCTGCCCTCTCCCTGACCTGTGTGCTCTCTCTCAAACAAACAAACAAACAAACTTTTCATATTAAACATTTTATAAACTTACCTGCTATGTACCCTTTCTGAGGAAACCACTAGTACATGAGCTACATCAAACTAAGCTAAATAGGACATACACTAAGACAACTAAAAACATTAGGATTCAGGGACAAGAAGATAGGGACCAGAAAGCGACTGTCCGGGAGGATGCTGAACAAATATTCAAAGACAGTAGTCAAGACTAGATCTCAAAGCCATATGCCTAGAGAATATTACCCCAGTTAGATCAGGCATGGGAGGCAATGAACGCCAAGGATTCCTTATGTGTTCATCCACAATAAAAGGAGACTTGTTTCAATGGAGTGCATGGGGTGAAGAGTAATAAGGATGTTGAAAACTAAGGTAATAAAAAAATGAAACAATTATTATCTCTAGGAAAGAAGCTATACAAAAATGGAAATGCAGTTATAATAGACATGGATTGCATGGATTGGTTGTAAATTATTTTTGTAGGACTATAACAGTGCAAACTTTTAATAATAGTGTAATAATAATGTAACCAAAACATGTGATACAATTAGAGTAGCAGACTTTAAGAGAGCATGTGAGGACAGGATCTGAGGGTAAATCCTCATCTGTGATAGTAACAGTCAGAAGATTATACCTAAAAATCAGAAAAGCAGGAAGGAGTGGTGCAAACAATTCATTTATAAATGTGGCTCTAAGAGCAGGGAGGAAAAATAAAAGGGAGTCTAGGTGGTGGAAATCACAGTGCAGACAGGTAAAGGATTTCCTTTACTGTTATGGGTTGAACTGCGCCTGCCCCATCTATATGTTGAATCCCTAACCCCCAAAACCTCAGAATGTGGCTGTATTTGGAGATAGAGTATATGAAGAGGTAAGGTCATATGAGTAGTACTAACCCAATTTGATCGGTATCCTGATAAGAGGGGCACATCCAGTAAGGACCACATTAAGTCATCTACAGGCTGAGAAGAGAGGCTTTAGGAGAAACCAAACCTGTGGACACACTGATCTGGAACTGCCAGCCCCCAGAACTGTGAGAAAATAAATGTCTGTTCTTTAAGCCATTCAGTCTGTTATTTTATTTTATTTTATTTTATTTTTAGGGAAGCTCAAGCTTCCCACATCCTAATGAACCACGTAAGAATCGGCTTTTTAAGCAATTTACAAAATTAAAAAAAAAGCTAAAAAAAAATAAACGGAGCTCATATTAGTTGAATACTATGCCCAGCTGAATCATCTGAAAGCCATCTGAAAGCCAGGTGTGCCTCACTCCGGCCAAAGATTTCCCAGTTTCTTCTGGAGTCCGAAGAACATCACAAAGACCTCAGTCCTTTTGTGTTGACAGCACTGGACCCTGGACCAGTATCTTGGGCCATCCCTTGGGAGATGCTATGCATCATTTCCACTTAGGCCCCACCACCATTCCCTGGCTGTGATCTGCTAAGCAACTCTGCAGGCGGGATTTGGAGGATAAAGAACTTCAAGGTCTCTTTGCTCATCAGCATACCCTTTTAATGCCACTGCCCAGCTCAAGGGCAGGCCTGGGAGTGATTCTGGAAGAAAGATTTAGCCCTTATACCTGGAGCCCGGAACTCAGTTTTCTTGAGATCTGCACTGATAGAAGAAACATTTTTCTCTTATAAAAGATAAAAAGTCCACATATGGTCATGATGCTAAGAACTTGAGCAAACAAGAGGAAGAATGAAATTACAAAATGCTCTAGGAGAACTTACCCTTTTTCCCCAAGGCTC